TACGTATCTCTGTGAGTCTCTACCTATCTCTGTGAGTCTCTGTGTGTCTCTGTGAGTCTCTGTGAGTCTCTACGTCTCTGTGAGTCTCTACGTATCACTGTGAGTCTCTGTGAGTCACTGTGAGTCTCTGTGAGTCACTGTGAGTCTCTGTGAGTCTCTGTGATTCTCTACGTATCTCTGTGAGTCTCTACGTATCTCTGTGAGTCTCTGTGAGTCTCTACGTATCTCTGTGAGTCTCTGAGAGTCTCTATGTATCTCTGAGAGTCTCTGTGAGTCTCTACGTATCTCTGTGAGTCTCTGAGAGTCTCTACGTATCTCTGTGAGTCTCTGTGAGTCTCTACGTATCTCTGTGAGTCTCTGAGAGTCTCTATGTATCTCTGAGAGTCTCTCTGAGTCTCTAAGTATCTCTGTGAGTCTCTGAGAGTCTCTACGTATCTCTGATTCTCTAAGAGTCTCTGAGAGTCTCTACGTATCTCTGAGGCTCTGTGAGTCTCTACGTATCTCTGAGAGTCGCTGTGAGTCTCTACGTATCTCTGAGAGTCTCCGTGAGTCTCTACGTATCTCTGTGAGTCTCTGTGAGTCTCTGAGAATCTCTACGTATCTCTGTGAGTCTCTGTGAGTCTCTACGTATCTCTGTGAGTCTCTGTGAGTCTCTACGTATCTCTGTGAGTCTCTGAGAATCTCTATGTATCTCTGAGTCTCTAAGAGTCTCTGAGAATCTCTACGTATCTCTGAGTCTCTGTGAGTCTCTACGTATCTCTGAGAGTCTCTGTGAGTCTCTACGTATATCTGAGTCTCTGTGAGTCTCTACGTATCTCTGAGAGTTTCCGTGAGTCTCTACGTATCTCTGTGAGTCTCTGTGAGTCTGAGAATCTCTACGTATCTCTGAGAGTCTCTGTGAGTCTCTGTGAGTCTCTACGTATCTCTGTGAGTCTCTGTGAGTCTGTACGTATTGTTGAGAGTCTCTTTGGGTCTCTGGAAGTCTCTGTGAGTCTCTGTGAGTCTATGTGAGTCTCTACGTATCTCTACGTATCTCTGTGAGTCTTTGTGAGTCTCTACGTATCTCTGTGAGTTTCTACGTGTCTCTGTGAGTCTCTGTGAGTCTGTGAGTCGCTACGTATCTCTGTGAGTCTCTACCTATCTCTGTGAGTCTCTGTGTGTCTCTGTGAGTCTCTGTGAGTCTCTACGTCTCTGTGAGTCTCTACGTATCACTGTGAGTCTCTGTGAGTCACTGTGAGTCTCTGTGAGTCACTGTGAGTCTCTGTGAGTCTCTGTGATTCTCTACGTATCTCTGTGAGTCTCTACGTATCTCTGTGAGTCTCTGTGAGTCTCTACGTATCTCTGTGAGTCTCTGAGAGTCTCTATGTATCTCTGAGAGTCTCTGTGAGTCTCTACGTATCTCTGTGAGTCTCTGAGAGTCTCTACGTATCTCTGTGAGTCTCTGTGAGTCTCTACGTATCTCTGTGAGTCTCTGAGAGTCTCTATGTATCTCTGAGAGTCTCTCTGAGTCTCTAAGTATCTCTGTGAGTCTCTGAGAGTCTCTACGTATCTCTGATTCTCTAAGAGTCTCTGAGAGTCTCTACGTATCTCTGAGGCTCTGTGAGTCTCTACGTATCTCTGAGAGTCGCTGTGAGTCTCTACGTATCTCTGAGAGTCTCCGTGAGTCTCTACGTATCTCTGTGAGTCTCTGTGAGTCTCTGAGAATCTCTACGTATCTCTGTGAGACTCTGTGAGTCTCTACGTATCTCTGTGAGTCTCTGTGAGTCTGTACGTATTGTTGAGAGTCTCTAAGAGTCTCTGTGAGTATCTGTGAGTCTCTGTGAGTCTCTACATATCTCTGTGAGTCTCTGTGAGTCTCTGTGAGTCTCTACGTATCTTTGTGAGTCTCTGTGAGTCTCTACGTATCTCTGTGAGTCTCTGAGAATCTCTATGTATCTCTGAGTCTCTAAGAGTCTCTGAGAATCTCTACGTATCTCTGAGTCTCTGTGAGTCTCTACATATCTCTGAGAGTCTCTGTGAGTCTCTACGTATATCTGAGTCTCTGTGAGTCTCTACGTATCTCTGAGAGTCTCCGTGAGTCTCTACGTATCTCTGTGAGTCTCTGTGAGTCTGAGAATCTCTACGTATCTCTGAGAGTCTCTGTGAGTCTCTGTGAGTCTCTACGTATCTCTGTGAGTCTCTGTGAGTCTGTACGTATTGTTGAGAGTCTCTTTGGGTCTCTGGAAGTCTCTGTGAGTCTCTGTGAGTCTCTGTGAGTCTCTACGTATCTCTGTGAGTCTCTGTGAGTCTCTACGTATCTCTGTGAGTCTCTGTGAGTCTCTACGTATCTCTGTGAGTCTCTGAGAGTCTCTATGTATCTCTGAGAGTCTCTGTGAGTCTCTACGTATCTCTGTGAGTCTCTGAGAGTCTCTACATATCTCTGAGTCTCTAAGAGTCTCTGTGAGTCTCTACGTATCTCTGAGAGTCTCCGTGAGTGTCTACGTATCTCTGTGAGTCTCTGAGTCTCTACGTATCTCTGAGAGTCTCTACATATCTCTGAGAGTCTCTACGTATCTCTGTGAGTCTCTGAGAGTTTCTGTGAGTCTCTACGTATCTCTGTGAGTCTCTGTGAGTCTCTGTGAGTCTCTACGCATCTCTGAGAGTCTCTGTGAGTCTCTACGTATATCTGTGAGTCTCTGTGAGTCTCTACGCATCTCTGTGAGTCTCTGTGAGTCTCCACGTATCTCTGTGAGTCTCTGTGAGTCTCTGAGAGTCTCTACATATCTCTGTGAGTCTCTACGTATCTCTGTGAGTCTCTGTGAGTCTCTGAGAGTCTCTACATATCTCTGTGAGTCTCTACGTATCTCTGTGAATCTCTGAGAGTCTCTGTGAGTCTCTACGTATCTCTGTGAGTCTCTGTGAGTCTCTACGTATCTCTGAGAGTCTCTACGTATCTCTGAGAGTCTCTACATATCTCTGAGAGTCTCTACGTATCTCTGTGAGTCTGAGAGTTTCTGTGAGTCTCTACGTATCTCTGTGAGTCTCTGTGAGTCTCTGTGAGTCTCTACGTATCTCTGAGAGTCTCTGAGTCTGTGAGTCTCTGTGAGTCTCTACGTATCTCTGAGAGTCTCTGTGAGTCTCTGTGAGTCTCTACGTATCTCTGAGAGTCTCTACGTATCTCTGAGAGTCTCTACGTATCTCTGTGAGTCTCTATGTATCTCTGAGAGTCTCTCTGAGTCTCTAAGTATCTCTGTGAGTCTCTGAGAGTCTCTACGTATCTCTGATTCTCTAAGAGTCTCTGAGAGTCTCTACCTATCTCTGAGGCTCTGTGAGTCTCTACGTATCTCTGAGAGTCGCTGTGAGTCTCTACGTATCTCTGAGAGTCTCCGTGAGTCTCTACGTATCTCTGTGAGTCTCTGTGAGTCTCTGAGAATCTCTACGTATCTCTGAGAGTCTCTGTGAGTCTCTGTGAGTCTCTACGTATCTCTGTGAGTCTCTGTGAGTCTGTACGTATTGTTGAGAGTCTCTAAGAGTCTCTGTGAGTATCTGTGAGTCTCTGTGAGTCTCTACGTATCTCTGTGAGTCTCTGTGAGTCTCTACGTATCTCTGTGAGTCTCTGTGAGTCTCTACGTATCTCTGTGAGTCTCTGAGAATCTCTATGTATCTCTGAGTCTCTAAGAGTCTCTGAGAATCTCTACGTATCTCTGAGTCTCTGTGAGTCTCTACGTATCTCTGAGAGTCTCTGTGAGTCTCTACGTATATCTGAGTCTCTGTGAGTCTCTACGTATCTCTGAGAGTCTCTGTGAGTCTCTACGTATATCTGAGTCTCCGTGAGTCTCTACGTATCTCTGTGAGTCTCTGTGAGTCTGAGAATCTCTACGTATCTCTGAGAGTCTCTGTGAGTCTCTGTGAGTCTCTACGTATCTCTGTGAGTCTCTGTGAGTCTGTACGTATTGTTGGGAGTCTCTTTGGGTCTCTGGAAGTCTCTGTGAGTCTCTGTGAGTCTCTACGTATCTCTGTGAGTCTCTGTGAGTCTCTGTGAGTCTCTACGTATCTCTGTGAGTCTCTGTGAGTCTCTACGTATCTCTGTGAGTCTCTGAGAGTCTCTATGTATCTCTGAGAGTCTCTGTGAGTCTCTACGTATCTCTGTGAGTCTCTGAGAGTCTCTACATATCTCTGAGTCTCTAAGAGTCTCTGTGAGTCTCTACGTATCTCTGAGAGTCTCCGTGAGTGTCTACGTATCTCTGTGAGTCTCTGAGTCTCTACGTATCTCTGAGAGTCTCTACATATCTCTGAGAGTCTCTACGTATCTCTGTGAGTCTCTGAGAGTTTCTGTGAGTCTCTACGTATCTCTGTGAGTCTCTGTGAGTCTCTACGTATCTCTGTGAGTCTCTGTGAGTCTCTACGCATCTCTGAGAGTCTCTGTGAGTCTCTACGTATATCTGTGAGTCTCTGTGAGTCTCTACGTATCTCTGTGAGTCTCTGTGAGTCTCTGTGAGTCTCCGTGAGTCTCCACATATCTCTGTGAGTCTCTGTGAGTCTCTACGTATCTCTGTGAGTCTCTGTGAGTCTCTGTGAGTCTCTACGTATCTCTGAGAGTCTCTACGTATCTCTGAGAGTCTCTACGTATCTCTGTGAGTCTCTGTGAGTCTCTACATATCTCTGTGAGTCTCTGTGAGTCTCTGTGAGTCTCTACGTATCTCTGTGAGTCTCTGTGAGTCTCTACGTATCTCTGTGAGTCTCTGTGAGTCTCTGTGAGTCTCTACGTATCTCTGTGAGTCTCTGTGAGTCTCTGAGAGTCTCTACGTATCTCTGTGAGTCTCTGTGAGTCTCTGTGAGTCTCTACGTATCTCTGTGAGTCTATGTGAGTCTCTGAGAGTCTCTACGTATCTCTGAGAGTCTCTACGTATCTCTGAGAGTCTCTACGTATCTCTGTGAGTCTATGTGAGTCTCTGAGAGTCTCTACGTATCTCCCCCCTCACCCCACCCCACGTCGGCGGCCACCTCCCTCCCCCGCCCAGCCACGCGGAGCGAGCGGCCCGACCTGTCGACACGGAACCCTCGGGTCGAGAGGGCCCAGGGCCAGGACCAGGCCCAGGGCCACGACCAGGCCCAGGGCCAGGCCCACGGCGACCGGCAGGGCCGCCCGCCGCCGCGTCCCCGTCGCTTCGCGTGCGACGTCTGCGAGAAGCGCTTCGGCAGCCGGCAGGCGCTCTCCGTCCACGGGCGGACCCACACGGGCGAGCGGCCCTACGCCTGCGCGCACTGCGGCCGCCAGTTCGCCCAGGGGCAGCACCTGCGGGCCCACCTGGCCACCCACACCCGCGAGCGGCCCCACGCCTGCGGCCGCTGCGGCCGCGCCTTCGCCCTGCGCTCGAACCTGCGGGCCCACGAGGCGACGCACGACGCCGAGCGGGCCCGGCACCCCTGCGGCCGCTGCGGCCGGGCCTACGCCTCGGCGGCGACGCTGCGCGTCCACCGGCGGGCGGCCCACTCGACGGAGCGGCCGCACGCCTGCGAGGCTTGCGGCAAGGCCTTCACGCGCGCCTCCTTCCTGCGCGCGCACCTGGTGGCCCACTCGGGCCGCAGGCCTTACGCCTGCCCCGACTGCGGCAGGCGCTACTCGCAGCCGTCGGCCCTCGAGGCCCACCGCTGGACCCACGCCGTGGCGGCGGCCGCGGCCGCGGGGACGGCGCCGCCGCCGACGTTCGCCTGCGACGACTGCGGCCGCGGCTTCGCCGGGGCCTCGCTGCTGCGGGCCCACCGGCGGGCGCACGCGCGCGGCGGCGGCGGCCGCGGCGGCCGCGGACGCGGCGGCGGCCTGGCCCGAAGGCCGCTCGAGGCGGAGGGGCACCACGGCCTCCAGGCCGAGGGGCACGACGGCCTCCAGGCCGAGGGGCACGACGGCCTCCAGGCCGAGGGGCACGACGGCCTCCAGGCCGAGGGCGGAGGGCCGCTCGGCCGGGGGCCCCGCGGAGACGGGGAGGAGGAGGAGGCCACGGTCTTCTTGTCCGACGATTCAGGCGAGTGACCTGGCGGCCGTGCGATGGGATTTGCTCGTTGCTCGGGCCGGAAACGTCGCGCGATGGGGGGGGTTGGGGGTGGGGGCCTGGGGGGTGTGGGGGGGTGGGGGGGTGCCCCTCCCCCCCCCCCGGCCCACTCCCCACCACCGCCCCCTGCTCCCTGATTGGCCGCTTGGTGACGCTGCTGCTTGCATCGGGCGGTGGGGATATGATGGCGGCGGATTCGAGATGTTTAGAGATGTTGAGAGATGTTTAGAGACGTTTAGCAATGTTTAGAGATGTTTAGAGACGTTTAGAGAGGTTTAGCAATGTTTCGAGATGTTTAGAGACGTTTAGAGACGTTTCTCAATGTTTAGAGATGTTTAGAGACGTTTAGCGATGTTTAGCGAAGTTTAGAGATGTTTAGCGATGTTTAGAGATGTTTAGAGATGTTGAGAGATGTTTAGAGACGTTTAGAGACGTTTAGCAATGTTTAGAGATGTTTAGATAAGTTTAGAGATGTTTAGCGAAGTTTAGCGAAGTTTAGCGATGTTTAGCGATGTTTAGAGATGTTTAGCGATGTTTAGCGATGTTTAGAGATGTTTAGCGATGTTGAGAGATGTTTAGAGACGTTTAGAGATGTTTAGCAATGTTTAGAGATGTTTAGAGATGTTTAGATACGTTTAGAGATGTTTAGCGATGTTTAGAGATGTTTAGCGATGTTTAGAGATGTTTAGAGATGTTTAGAGACGTTTAGCGATGTTTAGCGATGTTTAGAGATGTTTAGAGATGATCAGAGATGTTTAGAGACGTTTAGAGATCTTCGTTGGTTCTTTCGGTAAAGTCACCACGTAGAATGAGAATAAAATAATAAAATAACACGATAAAATTCTCACGACGTTTCGGCCACAACGCAAGCGGCCGTCTTCAGGTGAAAGGTACAGACCAGTCGGGACGACAGAGCTTCAATGAACGATGTTAAGATTCGTAGCGACTTTTAAGCTGGTTGGGAGAAGTGAGGCACCTTGACAAAGGGGTTTACATATCATATGTATATTTACATATGATATATGTATAATTACATATGTATATGATATGTAAACCGCTTTGTCAAGGTGCCTCACTTCTCCCAACCAGCTTAAAAGTCGCTACGAATCTTAACAGCGTTCATTGAAGCTCTGTGGATGTGTAGGCCTTTACTTTAACATCTATTTCTGTGACCAGTCACAAGCTAATCCCTTAGCTATCTCAATGCTAAGTTACTAGTTGCCTCTGTGGATGTGTAGGTTTTGACTGTAACATAGCCATTCCCATTACCAGTCACAAGCTAATCCCTCAGCTATTTCAATGCTAAATTACTAGTTGCCTCTGTGGATGTGTAGGTTTTGACTTTAACATAGCCATTCCTGTGACCAGTCACAAGCTAATCCCTTAGCTATTTCAATGCTAAATTACTAGTTGCCTCTGTGGATGTGTAGGTTTTGACTTTAACATAGCCATTCCTGTGACCAGTCACAAGCTAATCCCTCAGCTATTTGATATGTAAACTCCTTTGTCAAGGTGCCTCACTTCTCCCAACCAGCTTAAAATTCGCTACGAATCTTAACAGCGTTCATTGAAGCTCTGTGGATGTGTAGACCTTTACTTTAACATCTATTTCTGTGATCAGTCACAAGATAATCCCTTAGCTATTTCAATGCTAAATTACTAGTTGCCTCTGTGGATGTGTAGGTTTTGACTTTAACATAGCCATTCCTGTGACCAGTCACAAGCTAATCCCTTAGCTATTTCAATGCGAAATTACTAGTTGCCTCTGTGGATGTGTAGGTTTTGACTTTAACATAGCCATTTCCGTGACCAGTCACAAGCTAATCCCTCAGCTATTTCAATGCTAAATTACTAGTTGCCTCTGTGGATGTGTAGGTTTTGACTTTAACATAGCCATTCCTGTGACCAGTCACAAGCTAATCCCTTAGCTATTTCAATGCTAAATTACTAGTTGCCTCTGTGGATGTGTAGGTTTTGACTTTAACATAGCCATTCCTGTGACCAGTCACAAGCTAATCCCTTAGCTATTTCAATGCTAAATTGCTAGTTGCCTCTGTGGATGTGTAGGTTTTGACTTTAACATAGCCATTTCCGTGACCAGTCACAAGCTAATCCCTCAGCTATTTCAATGCTAAATTACTAGTTGCCTCTGTGGATGTGTAGGTTTTGACTTTAACATAGCCATTTCCGTGACCAGTCACAAGCTAATACCTCAGCTATTTCAATGCTAAATTACTAGTTGCCTTTGTGGATGTGTAGGTTTTGACTTTAACATAGCCATTCCTATGACCAGTCACAAGCTAATCCCTTGGCTATTTCAATGCTAAATTACTAGTTGCCTCTGTGGATGTGTAGGTTTTGACTTTAACATAGCCATTCCTGTGACCAGTCACAAGCTAATCCCTTAGCTATTTCAATGCTAAATTGTCCTGTTTGATATGTACTAGGTGCCTCTGTGGATGTGTAGGCTTTGACTTTAACATAGCTATTTCCGTGACCAGTCACAAGCTAATCCCTCAGCTATTTCAATGCTAAATTACTAGTTGCCTCTGTGGATGTGTAGGTTTTGACTTTAACATAGCCATTCCTGTGACCAGTCTCAAGCTAATCCCTCAGCTATTTGATATGTAAACCCCTTTGTCAAGGTGCCTCACTTCTCCCAACCAGCTTAAAAGTCGCTACGAATCTTAACAGCGTTCATTGAAGCTCTGTGGATGTGTAGGCCTTTACTTTAACATCTATTTCTGTGACCAGTCACAAGCTAATCCCTTAGCTATCTCAATGCTAAGTTACTAGTTGCCTCTGTGGATGTGTAGGTTTTGACTTTAACATAGCCATTCCCATTACCAGTCACAAGCTAATCCCTCAGCTATTTCAATGCTAAATTACTAGTTGCCTCTGTGGATGTGTAGGTTTTGACTTTAACATAGCCATTCCTGTGACCAGTCACAAGCTAATCCCTTAGCTATTTCAATGCTAAATTACTAGTTGCCTCTGTGGATGTGTAGGTTTTGACTTTAACATAGCCATTCCTGTGACCAGTCACAAGCTAATCCCTCAGCTATTTGATATGTAAACTCCTTTGTCAAGGTGCCTCACTTCTCCCAACCAGCTTAAAATTCGCTACGAATCTTAACAGCGTTCATTGAAGCTCTGTGGATGTGTAGACCTTTACTTTAACATCTATTTCTGTGATCAGTCACAAGATAATCCCTTAGCTATTTCAATGCTAAATTACTAGTTGCCTCTGTGGATGTGTAGGTTTTGACTTTAACATAGCCATTTCCGTGACCAGTCACAAGCTAATCCCTCAGCTATTTCAATGCTAAATTACTAGTTGCCTCTGTGGATGTGTAGGTTTTGACTTTAACATAGCCATTCCTGTGACCAGTCACAAGCTAATCCCTTAGCTATTTCGATGCTAAATTACTAGTTGCCTCTGTGGATGTGAAGGTTTTGACTTTAACATAGCCATTCATGTGACCAATCACAAGCTAATCCCTTAGCTATTTCAATGATAAATTACTAGTTGCCTCTGTGGATGTGTAGGTTTTGACTTTAACATAGCCATTCCTGTGACCAGTCACAAGCTAATGCCCTCAGCTATTTCAATGCTAAATTACTAGTTGCCTCTGTGGATGTGTAGGTTTTGACTTTAACATAGCCATTTCCGTGACCAGTCACAAGCTAATACCTCAGCTATTTCAATGCTAAATTACTAGTTGCCTTTGTGGATGTGTAGGTTTTGACTTTAACATAGCCATTCCTATGACCAGTCACAAGCTAATCCCTTGGCTATTTCAATGCTAAATTACTAGTTGCCTCTGTGGATGTGTAGGTTTTGACTTTAACATAGCCATTCCTGTGACCAGTCACAAGCTAATCCCTTAGCTATTTCAATGCTAAATTGTCCTGTTTGATATGTACTAGGTGCCTCTGTGGATGTGTAGGCTTTGACTTTAACATAGCTATTTCCGTGACCAGTCACAAGCTAATCCCTCAGCTATTTCAATGCTAAATTACTAGTTGCCTCTGTGGATGTGTAGGTTTTGACTTTAACATAGCAATTCCTGTGACCAGTCTCAAGCTAATCCCTCAGCTATTTGATATGTAAACCCCTTTGTCAAGGTGCCTCACTTCTCCCAACCAGCTTAAAAGTCGCTACGAATCTTAACAGCGTTCATTGAAGCTCTGTGGATGTGTAGGCCTTTACTTTAACATCTATTTCTGTGACCAGTCACAAGCTAATCCCTTAGCTATCTCATTGCTAAATTACTAGTTGCCTCTGTGGATGTGTAGGTTTTGATTTTAACTTAGCCATTCCTGTGACCAGTCACAAGCTAATCCCTTAGCTATTTCAATGCTAAATTACTAGTTGCCTCTGTGGATGTGTAGGTTTTGACTTTAACATAGCCATTCCTGTGACCAGTCACGAGCTAATCCCTTAGCTATTTCAATGCTAAATTACTAGTTGCCTCTGTGGATGTGTAGGTTTTGACTTTAACATAGCCATTCCTGTGACCAGTCACAAGCTAATCCCTCAGCTATTTGATATGTAAACTCCTTTGTCAAGGTGCCTCACTTCTCCCAACCAGCTTAAAATTCGCTACGAATCTTAACAGCGTTCATTGAAGCTCTGTGGATGTGTAGACCTTTACTTTAACATCTATTTCTGTGATCAGTCACAAGATAATCCCTTAGCTATTTCAATGCTAAATTACTAGTTGCCTCTGTGGATGTGTAGGTTTTGACTTTAACATAGCCATTTCCGTGACCAGTCACAAGCTAATCCCTTAGCTATTTCAATGCTAAATTACTAGTTGCCTCTGTGGATGTGTAGGTTTTGACTTTAACATAGCCATTCCTGTGACCAGTCACAAGCTAATCCCTTAGCTATTTCAATGCTAAATTACTAGTTGCCTCTGTGGATGTGTAGGTTTTGACTTTAACATAGCCATTCCTGTGACCAATCACAAGCTAA